AAAACCTAAACCATTTGCCAAATACTCATCAATTAAGAGTTGTCCATCTCATAAACTTTTTTTCTTTTGATAAGTAATCCATCTCATTCCCACTTTGTTTGCATTTTGCAGTTTCCTAGAACTATAAAAAATAGGTCCTAATTGGTAAAATCTCGCATCTCAATGATCCAAGCCTCCCATGAAGTTCCGCAAAAAATCCTCTTACAAATCAAGATGGATTTTTGTCCATCATCCGTATAAGATCAGGAACAAACCACACCATCCTTTAGAAGGAAGCAGTGGATGCTTCCAAATTTTAATAAAAAGGAGGGTGAAGCTTGACTTGGGTAAGTAAAATCAAACTTAAAGAGGAAATCAGCATTCCAAAATTCCAATGACTGATCTAGATGAAAGGAATAAAAATGAAAACAGCAATGTCAAGACATGCATGAGAATAAACATTAAACCACAGTTGTAATATGTAAAGGGTGTGGTTTGTATGAAGCCTAAGCTCTAAACAATCAAATTAGAGCCTACCTTATAGTGTCGAGAAATGCGCAATACTAGAAATCTTTGTGATAGCTTTAAAATATATTTTTATCTTTATTTATAAATTTTAAAAGCTTTAAAAATAGTGTAGATCGACAGATCTATGAAAACTTGAAAATCTTGAAAATTTGCTGTCCAAAAATACGTTACAAAATACACTATTTCCAAAACTTGAAATCTATTTTTTTCTCATGTCCATGCGTCTTGATATCCAGATGATAAATTTGAGGATATTTGAGCATCAAAACAACCTTTTCTAGTGAAATTTTTGAGGTAGGCTCTAATTTTATTGTTTAGAGCCTCGGCTCTATATAAACTTTTCCCATATGTAAATGGAAACCTAAATTTCTAGAAAATAGGTGTTTTTGTCAGCATATTATAAAATAAATAGGAGAATTCGTGGAAACCCTGTCAATCTAATTAGAACTCGCACAGTGACAACTAAAATGTCTCATTTTTTCAACTATTCAGAAACAAAAGGTCATCAGAATAAAAGTATTTTCTCCAGAAAATATTTTAAAATCCAGAAAATATTTTAAAATTGAAAAATCACTAAAGTAACAAATATTTAAAGGAATAATGGGCACTTGAACCCGAGAACTACAGTTACATTTCATTTTTGGAATTCTTTAACTATCATCATTTACAACCATAGCAAAAGTCCACCAAAAACCCTCACCAAATTACCATGAACACATTTTAATAAAAACTAAGGACATGGAAGATGCATTTTCTGAAAGGGCCTTCGAACCAATCCTTCGACTTTTTCTTTTCTTTGTTGAATTGCAAATCAGAGAGAAACCATAATACCATGCTAGAACAAACTTAAAAAGAAACAAACTAAAATAAAAAAAGACCAAGAATTTGAAAACATTAACCATATAACTGATACTGCAATCATGTGCAAGGTATAAAAGCTAATTAAGCTTATTAATGCAGTAAAAAAAATTCACCCAATTTGTGAAGTACATAAAAACCAACTTCTACACCCTAGAAAGTCAAAAAGATTTGGCCCTTTATGGGTTTCTCTCTCAAAAAATAAATTAGGCAAACATGCAGGATCAACTAATGGGAGTGGGAAGGAAGTACAGAAAAAATGCATAAATCTTTTTATATTCAGAAGAAACTGGAGAAGGGGAGTGAACCCATTTTCCCAGTCCAAAGCTCTTGACTCCCGATATAAGGATATATTCATGTTAAAGAGATTTCATAAACAAGTGAGCTACTTGGCTTAAGCTTTATACAACACTGCTTGCTTCCATTTAGAGAGAGAACCCAAAAAAAAGACATCTTTTTTAGAGAGAGAAAGAAGAGGCAAGATATCTTACTTGGAGCCTGAGATCTGAGACCTAGCTGCATCAGAAATTAGAGGGAAAACCAGGAGAAACCATGATGCTGGAGGTCATGTTACAGTGATGAACACCATGAGAGAGAGGCGTGGGGGAGAGAGAAGATAGAGAGAGAGGCGTGGGGGAGAGAGGAGATAGAGAGAGAAAGATGCTTTGGGGAGAGAGATAGTCTGCCCTAGAATTATTAATAGAGAGAGAAAGAGAGTAGGATTACCCCTTACAATAGCGAAAAGACCAAACAGAGAGGGAGTTCTCAATGGACAGATAAAGTGAACAAATTGACCCCAACAATAGGAAAAAGACAGAAAATCATATAGAGAGAGAGAGAGAGAGAGGGGCTCATTGTGAAGGATCAATAGAGATTGGCTCTATCCTATGTGGTTGTATTTAGGACCTCTTTCTCTCTCTAGGATCTTAGCTCTTCTTCCTGTGTAGTTCGGACTTCTCTCTCTAAGGTATCTAAGAGTGATGTAGAGAGAGAAAGAGGTCTTAAGAGAGATCCAAGGGTGAGAGAAAGAAAGAGGTCTTAATTACATAAGAGAGAGTTAACATATATGCATATCAAATTTTGGGGATATATACAAGGAGCAAGTGAAGTTATTACATAAAACTTCTGATTTCCTAAACCGAACGTTACTGCGATAGTTGAATATGGACGGCATTGGATCGCTGACACCCTGCTGATATCAGGTATTCTGCGCCGTCTGTTTTTATCGGATGCCATGAAAGGTTGCAGTTGCATAGCGTATCAGATTGGAAATTGAGAAATTAAAGGAAGGGCGATTTTCTATTTAATGATATTTATTTGTCAAATATATTTAGAAGTACAGAATTTATTGCAGATTTCAGATGTTAGAACATATTTGGGGAACTATAAAAGCTATAAATGATTGGGAAATTTACGTCCATTATAACGAAATAATCCAAAAATAAGCGAATATTATCAAGAAGGATTTAATCTTCATTTTTTATTTTTTTGAACAAATTTGCCCACTGTCTGATGTTTCACTTAAAAAATTTTAGTAGTTTTCAATCGCACCCTTGGAAAATTTATCAAATTATTTATTACAAATGGGAGAGCCGAGTTCCAAGAAGCTTGAGCGAGGAAGAACATAAGGAAGAGAGCGATCAAAATCGAAGTTGTAAATAGCACCTTCGATGAGGCAGCAAAGCGCCTTGCTGCTATTCATCTTTCTAATTTACGAGTTGTATCTCTCTCCATTATCCATCGCCATTGATCATCTCTCTCTATCATCCATCGCCATTGATCCTTTCTCTTTCTCTATTATGCTGGGTGCATTGGATGAGTATATACAAATGGCGGCACAGGATGTGGTTAGGCCTCACGCAGAGTGTTGAAGGGGATTAATAGAGCTTGGTTGGCATGAGGGGGATAGGATTGCCTTGTGTTCGCTTTCGGCCCCTCCTCTCTCTCTCTAAAACTGTTGGAGTTGATTGATGCAGGTACACAATGTCGGTACGTGTGTGGTATATTAAAAAATTTAATAGGATCAATTTTTCTATACGAAAAAGAAAAATTGGATATATTTTTTTTCAAAATAGGGTAGATTATGTCCTAGAAACAAAACCACAGGTTTTAGAGCCTAATGCCAATAGTCAAGCCAGAAGAAGACTTGAAAAATAGTTAAAAGATGACAGAGTAGCTAGGACTACTATGTTGAGTTTTATGGAAGATGATTTAATTAGAGTCTTTAGGGATTACATCACAGCTCAAAGCATGATAGGCGCCCTATCTGAAAAGTATGGGACCACTTCTGAGACCCAGGTACAATTGTTGTCAGAAAAATAAAATTCTTGTAGAATGAGATGGGCACATCAAGTTTAATTGTCTTAAGCTAAAAAAAAAAATAGAAACTAAATTAACAACCCTTTTCGAAATAATCAAAATAGGAGAAAGGACTTGATCTACGTAGTCCTAGAATCAATAGTTGCCGATCATGACCTGAGAAATTGGTGGGCCGACTCAGCCTCCACTCGATATGTCTCGAGAACCAATAATGGATTCACATAATTGAAAGAGATTGCAGCCGGTAACCAACAGATTTATATGGAAAATGACACCTACTGCGATCTACTAGGCGTTGGTACTTTCAAGCTGTGTTTACCAGGAGAAACAAATATCTTATTGATTGATACATTGTATGCGTCCAATATAAGATGCAATTTGATTTATGTCCCAAGGCTAGACAAAAAGGGTTATGAAATAAGGTTCAGGTCTGGTCGGGTTACCATTGGGAAGCATTCTAGAGCTTTGGTGTACGGTACTAAAGTTGACAATTTGTACCGACTAAATATTAATGAAAGTTCATCATTTTCTGGTTATATTGATGCTTCTTTTGATGCTTTTATGTGTATGGATGATCCATATTTATGGCACTTAAGATTATGACATACAAACAAAGATAAAATGAATCAAATGGTTAAAAGAGGCTTGCTCCCCAATTTAGGAAAAATTGTGTTCAAAACATGCGAGCCATTCATTTCTGGTAAATTAACTAAGAAGCTTTTCCCTAGAGAGAAAATGTCTAATAAATTACTTAGTATTATTCACTCTGATATATGTGACCCATTAAATGTGAAAACACATAGATGTATAGAATATTTCATAACATTATGGACGATTATTCACGCTATGGATATGTATACTTAATTAGTAAGAAATCAGATGCATTAGAAACATTTAAAGAATATAAAGCTGAGGTAAAAAATTAGTTAGGTACACATATTAAAATTCTTCAAACAGATAGGGGAGGTAAATATTTCTCCGCCTTATTTTCTGAATTTTATAAGGAGCATGGTATAATTCACCAAACAACTATGCCATATACACCACAACAAAATGATGTAGCTAAAAGGAGAAATAGAACTCTAATGGACATGGTTAGGTCCATGACGAGCCATTCAAATTTATCACCTCATTTTTGGGGTGAGGCTCTCAACACTGTAATATATATCATTAATCGTGTTCCAACTAAATCTATAGACTTGACCACATATGAATTATGGACAGGTAGGAAACCTGACCTTACTATCTTGAAAGTTTGGGGTTCTTGGGCACATGTGCTTATATCACTACAAAATAGAGATACATTACAAAGTAAAACTATAAAATGCTTTTTTATAGGCTATTTAGAAAATTCTAAAGGGTATAGATTCTATAACCATGATACTAGATCATTAGTAGAGAATCGTGATGCTCATTTCTTAGAAAATATAGATGATGAACATATTTTAAATAAGCCTATTGACTTACATGAAATTGATAAAGATAAGGGTTTGGAAGACCCTGTTTCTCACACTCCCTCTAAATTTGGTGAGAATGATTCAATTGAATTAAGTATACCAGATAGGCCTAAAATAACTAGAGCCCCACCTACGACTTTAGAAGAATTTTATGGATTTATGAATGAATATAATTACTCTTCAATGAGTGAGGATACAATAGATGAATCTCGTAGCTACAGTGAAGTTATTAGCTCACATGACACAACTGAGTGGACTCAAGCCATGGATGATGAACTTGATTCTATTAAAAGAAATCAAGTTTGGGAGTTGGTTGACCTCCCTAAAGTTAGAAAAGTCATCGGTTGCAAACGAGTCCTAAAGAAAAAACTTAATGCAAATGGATCAATTGATAAATATAAAGCTAGGTTGGTAGCTAAAGGATTTATCCAAAGGGAGGGCATAGATTATATAAAAACTTATTCTCCAGTAGCAAAATTTTCACCTATTAGGATCATCCTTGCATTAGTTGCATATTATGATCTAGAATTATTTTAGATGGATGTCAAAACAGATTTCTTAAATGGAAAATTAAAAGAAAATATATACATGAAACAACCATAAGGATATGTAATTAAAGGCCAAGAAGACAAAATATATAAACTTAAGAAATATTTATGTGGTCTAAAGTAGTCTTCTAGGTAATGGTACTTTACTTTTCATAATGCAATCACTGAAATTGGTTATATAGCCAATAGATTAGAACATTTGCGTATATGTCTGGATTAGTGGGAGCAATT